AAGAAAATCTAAAAATTTAAAAAATAAAATATGACGACATCTTTTGTGGATTGGCGATGCATTCTCATTTGAAGAAAAAGAAAACAAAAATGTTAAAGTGATATTGAAAGACGAATGAATTTGTCCTTAACGGATTATAGATGAAAAAATCAGGGAAAAAAAAATATGAAATAAAAAACAAGTAAAAAAGTTGGCAAGGATTTAGAATCCTGCTTTATTAGGTAAGTACATAAATACACTGTCACATAATAAATTTAATGGGTAATTCAAATATTTTACGAAGGTTTGATCAGAAGTAAAAATAAAGTTCAACAAAAGATTTTTTTCGTTTTGAGTTTCTATTTAAAATTTACCAAATGAAGAATACGTGTAAATTGAAAACGAGAAGGAATGTTACTGTTATACAAACACTTAATATGTGTGAATTGCACATTTAGAAAGAATATTACCTTTAGTACACAATCCAAACACTACCGTGACCAGTGTGATTTCTACTGATGGCTAATTACTCTTCATAAAGTAAATACTGTGGTGACATGATAAAGTCATTCAGCAGATTATGAGTTTTTGGTATCCGGACATATTACACTATTAGAAATAGGTAAAGAAAATTTCTTTGGATCATTCGACAATAAAATTTAAGAAAAGCAACAATAATAATGAAATCCTATTCCAACGTTTGAGAAAAAGATTGGTCTTTAGTTAAAGATCAAATTATTTCTAGCCTTCTCTATCACATGTTCAACCTATGAAAGATTCTAAACATCATAAACCTTCTCTATGTTTATGAAACCAAATGTTTCACTAAAATGTAAAGAAAGATATTTTTGGGAAATTTATCGAACGACTAGTTAAAATTTTTTCGAAGCATTTTTCGTGCTTTTTGGTTCTCGGTTTCAGAAATTTTTCATGAAACATGTCAATTGTCAATTAGAAATATGAATCACAAATATTAAATAGAAAGGCTACTAAAATATTATAAAGATTTCGGCAATATATTCCACTGCCAAGTAGATTTTAGGAAAAATACGGGCTGTATGATTGCCCTCTATTAAACAAATATGATTTCATAATGATAAAAAAGCAGAAAAAGATGAAACAAAATTTTTTCTTTAAGTTTTTCGCAAATATGACAATAAAAATTAAAGAACGATTGAAAAAAGAAGAGCAAACTGTACATTTTCAATTAAAAATTCAATGAGCGATTCCTATTTAAAAAGTATTTTTTTGCAAAGAAGCAGATAGATTCATAAGTTATTCCATAATAGTATTCTAATTTTATATACAATAGTAAAACAGCTTTAAAATTATTTAACATAAATATTTGTTGGCACATTTCTCAATAAATTTTTGGTAAAATTGAATTTCTGTTGCACAGTTATCAAGAGACTATGATCCTTTGAAAATAAATATTAGTGCAAGATCAATAAATCATTTTTATATTAATACATAATCTACGTAAGTAAATAGATTTTACGTTTTAACCTACTACGAAGAAAAACCATTAAAAACACTCTCTTGGCCATCATTATAATATTGTTATTGTTGAACTTTCTTTCCTTCATTTTTCTTTCATGCATAATATTTTATTAAATGTAGGTGAATACTGAGAGACCATGTTTTTTAAAATATTTGAAATATCGTGCCAAAAACTACATTCAGGAATGAGTCCTATATACGTGTATGTACTATTGTATGTGTAAGTATAACAGGTTTGTATAAAAATTATTTAGAACTTATTGTCAATAATAGGAAAATAAATAGGAAAATGAAATGTAGGTTTCTTATTGCTATTCAAATATTTATTTGACACCATCTAAAGTTAAATTTTTCTAAAGCAATTACTTAAATGATTCTAAATTTCTTAAAGTTTATGAAGTAGTGTAAAAAATTAAAAAAAAAACTTCACTAAAGCATTTTGAAAAATAAAGTATTCAAACATCAAAATAGAAGGGTCTATTCACAATAGCCTTTTACGATAATAGATCAAACAAAAAATTTTCTTAATTGAAAACAGCTGCATGAATAAATTTAAACTTAAAGGATTTTTACTCATCGCAGTCAGTAGTTTTTCTTCTTTCTCTGTATTATTTTTTTAAGAGATTGTTGAAGAGAAAATATTAAAAAGAGAGAATTGTTATCGTTTCTAGTAAAACTTTTAAGAGACATGCTTACTTGGAAATTTTTAAGAGGAAAAAAAACGTTATGATTTCCGAATTAATATAAAATTTTAAAATACTAAAGGAAATTTATTTGTACCGGAATATTTAAACTGCTTAATGCTCTTGTAAAATTGAATTTTATAGTAGCAAAATTATTGTAATTTTAATTTTTTTATTAAATTTGTAAATAGTGAACGCTTTTCTCCTTTCGAATCTAGTTTTGCGGTTAGACTAATCAAAGTTTTTGTTGAAAACAAAATTAGAAATTAAAAGTACCATCTCGTTTCTCGCCTCAGCTACAATATAAAGTGCTCTCTTTCTGCAAAATTTTAAAATTAATTTGTTTAAAAAAGATATTAACGATTTTCCGCAATATTTTCTATTTAACATAAAAAATTTATTTAGGTGGAAGTACATTTCATTGTCATTTAATTACTTCAGCTATTCTGTCAAAAGCATTTAGACTATCAGAAAGCAGTTTCAAAATTTTTTCCGAAAGTCGGAAGGCTGTCATACAATAATATAATTTTATTTTATAGAAAACTGAAATGTATCACTTTAAATTTATTTCAAATATAATTTGTAGGAATATGCTTCTCAATTTATTAAATATTCATTGTGATCTTCAATTCATAATACTTGTTCTTATTATGCTTCATAAAATAAATCATTAAGAATTTATACAGATTGTAAGAATAATTTACTTGAGTAATATTCTATTTTAAACAATTTCGAAAATAAAAAATCCCTTCAGAATAACTCCTTAAGTTCTCTTTTATATTTTTTAGAGAATTATAATATTTCTCTTAGGATTCTCTGTAAATATTTCCTATAATTCTACATATTCGTGAAACTTTTAAAATTTTCACTTAATTTGCTTTATTTTTGAAATATTTCAAATATTTCATATTAAAAATTATTTAACGAATATTATAAAAATACAAAATATTTTAAAAGAGAATATTTTTATTGGCATAACAAAAATGAATACAGCATTTTTATTTCGTTCACGAGTGAAAAATCCTCACCGAATATTAAAAATATCCGCTTTTCGTTCTTTTGTATGTACCCATTTAATAGGTAGATAGATTTAAGATTTCATTTTAACGACAATCGAAATCAAATGAGAATTTGCTGAATTAAAAATAATGAAAATTTTGCTTGTTAGTCGAAACCGTTATCACATTTCATCCTTTTCATAAGGCTTCATTACAAAATATCAAATTTCCTGCAATAAAATATACCCATTGAAGTATTTATGCAACCGTTTAATTTTTTATTCATGCGCTTTGTAACGTAATAAAAATTGGGAAATTTTGTATTTATATTCTAATAAGAAGTAAAGGATAAAAATATAAGGGAAATTTCAAGAATTTTATTATAGTAAAATCCTTGTTGAATATAGAAAAATAGAGATAGGAATTTTTCGTTAAAATATTTTCAGAAAAAAGAAAAGAAAAAAATAGGTAGAAAAAATACCCGAATCCTTTTATTTCATTTAATTTTACAAGGAAAAGGAAAAACTTTTCGTGTAAAAAAAAAAATCCAAATCAGTTTCAGCTCGTCTATCGGACTATCGTGTCGTGTGAAAGCGTTTTTGTAAAATAAAATTCCCGTGTGACGATAAATTTTAAAACAAAAAAAAATTTTTTTTTTATTTTTGATTTTGAAAAAGTTCTTTCGGTCTCTTATAGTTTTTAATATCGTAAAATGAAATTATACAGAATGTTAAAAGGAATTTTAATATTAGAAATTGAATTATTAAAGTGTTAATTTCCTTACTGCAACCGAATTTCTAAATTCATCAATTCAATATACTTGAAATAGAAGGTCCATATCAGAATTTATTGTGAATTTTGTCACAATAATAAATACATACATATATAGGATTGTGAAGTTGACATAATTATTTTGATTGAATTATTTCCAAAAACTTTATAAGAATAATGAAAAGAAAGAAAAATATTATAAAATATTATGGTATAATCTGGATTAATAGTGAATTTTTGAGATGAATCACATATCAAAAGTTAAAACTTTAAAAACTGCAATTAAAGCATTTCTTAAGTCATATCAAAATTAATGAAACCTATCAAGTTTACAAACATATTATTATTTAACACCTACACAAATAAAATAATGTAAACATATCCGTGTTTTGCCAGAAAATATTTTCTTATAAAATAACTAAATTGCAATGATATAAATGTGTGTCACATTAATTCTTTATTGTTATAACAATAATAAAGAAAATATCCTGATCAATTAGGAAAACAAAAAATAATAAAACTAAATTCGTCCTAACACAGCAAATAAATTAATAATAACAATAATAATAATAAAATTAATAAAATCTAACTACAAACGCGTAAACTACTCGTTACGTATTCTTTACTTAAGAGTAAATAAAAAAAATTTTTACATATCCCTACATTTAAGTTTATAATTGAAAATTATATGAAATTGCATGTATTTAGGAGTAAAAATTGTAATATTAACAGAAATCTTATTACTTAATTTGATTAATTAATTAAAATTTTGTCAAAACTCAATAAAGAATTAAAACAAATTTTTAACTAAATTAAAATAAAAATTTTAGAATAAATAAGGAAAAATTTAATTACAAGAAAAAAAATTGTGTATATAGAGATATAGAATAAATAAATGAGAGTAAAGCAAAATCTTAAAGAAATCTTAAAGAAATGTAAAAGTAAAATATTTTGGTTTTAGATTAAAAACATTGGAAAACAAATTCAAATTCAAATTTTTATTTCATTTAATTAAATTAAATTTTAATTTAATTAAATAAATTAAACGAAATTATATTATAACAAAAGAGCACAAATTATGATTTAAACAAGTTTAATAAAGTGCATTTTTATAAGAAGGAAAAAAAATTTTCTTAAATATTTCAAAAATAATTTAAAAAAATTTCAAATAATTAATATTAGTCAAGGATTAAAATTAAGTAACAATACAAGGGTAAAATAAAAAACAAATTAAATTCAATTCTAATATCAATTTCCAATATTTAATTACAATAATTGTAGAATAGGAAAGCAAAGTGAGTGTTTCTTTATTAAATTTTTTCAATTTTTTAAACTTAATATAAAATTTTTAGTTTTAAAATAAACGAAATTATTTTTTAAAATTATTTTATATTGTAAAATGAAAGATGCTTTTAATTATTGAGATTTTTAATGAATAACAAGCGTAATTAAATGACTTTGGGACAGTCCTTTTTGTAAACTGTTATAAATAGGGATTAATCTTTCAAGCAAAACCTATTTGAATTTCGACAAGAGTTCAAATTTGAGAAAGTTGAAATGGGAAAATTATACTCAGTATGAGTTTATTAAATAATAAATTTAATATTTCTGACAATTATATTTCTAGATTAACATGCCTATTACATGTAATACAAGTAATATTTCTAATAAAACAATAGGATAATTTCCCTCCTCTAATTATTTAATAAAGTATATTTTAAAATGCATTCGATTTATTATTTGCTCCATAAACCCTGTTAATTTGAAAAGATTTTAACTTACCGAAATTATCTAATTTTTCATTTTTTTTTTTTGTTAAATAATTTGAATGATATCAATTATTGTTAGACTGAAATAAAAATTTTCAAATGATTTTTCTTGATTTACTGCAAAAATTTAAAAAAAAAATAAATAACCTCCTATTATAATCCTTTAGCTATTACTGCCCATAATTATAATGGCTATACATACATAATTTCGTTGTCGCTAAATGGAAGCACACGAAGTCCAAAAAGTGCATATTGAGTAATTCAACTTTGAAATTAAAATTTTATTAATAAAGGCAGGAATACGTTTATTCAAGCCAATAACTGTTTTGAACCGTATCTGAAGAATTTTTATATCTTGGCCTATAATACATTAATTTCATTCATCTATGGAAAATAACATACTTCTAATAAAATAAGTCTTTTTGGAATTATTGAGTTTTCACAGCCAACATAATGGTAAAAGGGTTTTTTTTGGGAATTCGCGATGTTACTATGGTAACATTTTTTATCTACTTATTTCAATCTACTGATGATGTTTTGATTGATTTATACCATGAAATTCTTTAGATATAACAATTGGTTCGCATAAATGTAATAGATCGTTATACTTTTGTTTTGAAATTCTGTTTTGACGAGTATATAATTCAGGTATTTGAAATATATATTTTTTTTTTTGTTCTACGTGACACAAATATTTATAGCTCAGTAGTCACTTGTTTAATAATTTCTGTATTGAATTATTTGTGGGCGATTCATTTTGCAAATTTAAAATATTTTACGATGCCGATGGGCCCTCTTGTTGGCTTAGTGCATGGGCTTCCTACGGGTTACCAGGCGAAAACCCCGACTCTTACTACTACTACTAAAACATTTCACTTTAAGCTAGTCGACTGATTTCTTTTTAATATAATTTTTTCTATTTTTAATTAAATTTCCCGCTTATAAGCAGAGATCTACAAGATCGTGATATTTGAACTCTGATACCTTACATTTTCGACAGTAAATTTACATTAATTTACAAGTGAGTTTTTATTCACGAAATTTTATGTTTAAATGGAATTAGAGAAATATAATACTGTACAACTTTCAAACTACTAACCGTACAGCTCTAAAAAATTTTCACTTAAAATTTGAAACTTCAGCATTAATTTGCTACATCTAACTCATTTTAGCCAAAAATGAACTTAGTGAGTTTTCATTTAGCGACGACGAATTATGAATTTAACATTTGGTAAAATTATTATATTTCAATTTGAATAATTTATTTATCGAAAATAAAAAAAAAATGTTAAATACTTTATCCGAAAATTGTAAATTACATTTAAATTTAAAATTTGAATAAAATGATAATTTTAAATTTTTTTTTTTAATAATAATTTTTATTTTATAGAATTTTTGAATAAAATCTTTTGATGTAAATACTCGAATAATAATAGAATAAAATATTAAAATGCTATTTTAATGCATTTTTTTTTAAGTACAAAAATTTTGCATTATTTAAATTTGATGAAAATTTTTGAATTTGCCTTTTAGCATTGTGGTATTATAAATTTCAATTAATTATAATCCTACAAAAGCATGGTACGATTGCTAGCTAATTTCAATTATGTCTTTCCTTTTATAGTTTTGATATTAATTTTCTATTTCAATATTATTAAAATTTTAAGTCTTTAATTCGACTGCGTTTGAATTTAAATAAAATTAATCGTAGATTTCGAAATAATTGCAGTAAACCATTAGTAAAATAGAAATTCATGCAAAACGCCCGACTCTGCTGTTGATGAATAAAAAATATCCAACGCTCTCGCACTGCTATTAATGAGTACAATATTATAAACAATACTTTCACTGTCATGATTCAAAAATTATGTTGAACCAATTTTGTGAAACAAGAAAGAATCAAGAAAGTTATAGCTCTTCAAAATTGTGAAAATGAATATTTGTGGCAAATTATAGCGTCCAAATTAAAAGAATATTTGTAAATCGTGTAAACTCACAAATTTCAAGAATATTACTATATTTTCGGCGATTTCATATATTTAAAACGTATAAAGTAAAGTTAAAATGTTTAAAATTGACTTTTCATGTTCAGCGTTATCTCAAGCTGGATTCTTTAATTAAATTTCTGAAACAATTTTTCTACTAAACTTAAGACACTTATTAAGCCTTGAGATATTTTTTTCAAATTTTAATATTTTATAGAAATCGGCAAGTATTTAATTTTAATGTGTTTATTGCGTTTGGCTTAAAAACTACTCAAACAGAATTATATTATTCAAGTTCTGCCAAATTCAAACTGCTGCTATAAAACTTTTGAAAAATTCCAATTTGCTAATCCGATTTCAATATATTTACTACGTTTGGTTTAATCAGTATTTAGGTTAATTATTATGAAATTTAAGTATTTTCAAAATTACCCGATTTTGCCGATCGTGTTGCATATAATTTTAGGAAATATTGTAGTTACACCTAATTTGACACATCACGCTTTCACCGAAAATGAACTTTTACTGTTATTGAAATAAATAAATCTTTTCGTGGGAAATGTCATATCATGTAAAAAGGAAAATTGATTCATAGAAGTCAACTTTCACAATACAACTGTTTTAAATTTTAATAGGTAAATCTTCAATTATAACTGAAAGGTTTGGATATCTACCATTCAGAGGAACCGAGCATGAAAAACTTATTTTAAAAACTGGTTTTAATTCCAAAATGAGCACCCTTAAGAAAGTAAAAAATTCGACCAGTAATATGCTGACCACAGCATATTTTTAATTTTTAGCATTTATTATGTACTCTTAACTTTTTGCCATAACTTTACATTTTACCGTACCAAATTAAATTTTATATAACAGTTTGTTGTTACAATTGTTACGAATCGATAAATTTTGGGATGTATTGAGAAAAATAGTTAATTAGGGTCTATTGTGGACCATAGTAACAGACAACTTGAAAAATATCTTGATCCTTCTAAACTATGTTAAAAATGCTTCCGTTTACAAAATAAAATTTTTAGTTAAACCAAAGCTTGTAGCACTACATTTCATTGGAACTAATAAACAATAATTCAGTATTATTTTTTCTTCTCAAAAATATTTTGAACTTTAATTTATTCCAACTTTTTCAAAGTATATTTCAATATAACCAACAGTATACCTTTCCAAATTACAACACTTAAATCCAAAAATTTAGAAATTTTTGATAAATTAGAATTTTCGTTTCATATATTTTTTTGGTAAAATATTTGCACACTTTTAATGGCCCCATATAACAAGGAAAAAGAACATCAAATACTTCATTTTATAACTTCATGTTTTTTTTTCTTTTTTTTTGTGAAATGTAGATAACAAATTTACACATTATCATTTGAATATTTTTGATTTCATTCAAATTGAGTGTGAAATTGAATGTGATTTATAGCCTTGAAATTGGAAAAATATTTTAATTTTGATTGGAATATTTATTTGAAATATGATCAGGGTTTTGATTTTTCCTATCAGATTTATTCAATATATGTTATAACCTATAGTTATAAGGAAAAATATTATAAAAAGTAGCAGTTTCATTTAAATATTGAAAAGTTTTTGAATATGGCTTATGAAGGATACGATAGAATTGATGAAAAATTTCAAATTTACAAGGAAAATGAATACCATTGACTTTATTTTGAGCAACTAAAACTAGTTGTGTCTAATAAGATAACCAACAAAATAATTATGATTTTCGATAAAAATAGTATACATAATATATAATGTTAAATATGTTGCTCTTTAGTTTATTATGTTAGGAGACAGGAACAGAGTATCCTTTGATTTTGTAATTTTTAATGTAATTTTTATATCTTCATGAAAGAATGAATCAGAAATAAATACAAGCCTGTCCAATTAAATGATATGTTTCAATGATATTTTATGTGTATTGAAAGCAATCCACTTGAAGGAAATAACAATATTAATAAGAAAAATTAAAAATATAATTGACAACATCAAATCCATAAGTTAAAAACCGACTGAATATGTGACTCAAAATATGAAGGTAGGAACTCCTGAAAATTATATTCTATTATAAAAGTGTGTGAAAATTTTTTCAAAAATGGCTTTAAAAGACCTTAGTAATATAAAATATTTATAAGTATTAATTTTCCAAATTTTAAAGCTTTAGGTTCTCCCAGTTATGAGGAACTGAGGAATGAATGGTGCTTATTCAGAAATCATAAAATGTTGTTCTTCTCATATTTAGAATAAAATATTTTAACAACTTCTCTCATCATTACTTTTTTATGATTCATAATGGAAATGAGATAAAATTGCATATTTTCAGGAGTAAGAAAAAAAAATTTTTGTTATAAATTTTCTTTTTCTCCTTTACTTAGCTATGCCATAAATAAATTTAATAATTTTAAATTCTATTGAAATTAATTTTTAAAATTTATTTCATATAAAATCAAATATGATATTTGTATCACGATTTTTCATATCCTTAGAGTACAATATACAATATCGTAAAATAAATAGCAATAAAAT